AGCACAAACTGTCATTGGTATTTTTGATTTTAGCCATTCTGACAGGAGTGAGAAGGTATCTCAGAGTTTGGCATTTGATTGGCATTTCCCTAAGGATGTTGAACACTTATGTGTCTTTCAGCCATTTTAGATTCCTCTGAGAATTGTCTATTCAGTTCTGTACCCCACTTTTTAATTGGATTATTTGATGTTTTGGAGACTAGATTCTTGAATTCTTTGTATATTTTGGAAATCAGCCCTCTGTCAGATTTGGGGTTGGTGAATATCTTTTCCCAGTCTGTGGGCTGCCGTTTTGTCTTACTGACTGTGTCCTTAGGCTTCCAGAAGCTTCTCAGTTTCAGGAGGTCCCATTTATCAATTGTTGATCTCAATGTCTGTCCTGCTGGTGCAGTGTTCAGGAAGAGGCCTCCTGTACCAATTAATTCAAGGGCATTTCCCAATTTGTCTTCTAATATGTTCAGTGTGCCTGGATTTATGTTGAGGTCTTTGATTCATTTTGACTTAAGTTTTGTGCATGGTGATAGGCTTGGGTCTATCTGCAGTCTTCTACATGTCTGCATCCAGTTATGCCAGCAACATTGGTTGAAGATGTTCTCTTTGTTCCATTGTATAAATGTGGAATGTTTGTCAAAAGCAGGTGTTCGTAGGTGCATGGGTTAATATCAGGGATTTCAACTCTATTCCATTTGTCTACCTGTCTATTTTTGTGCCAATACCAATCTGTTTTCAGGAGTATAGCTCTGTAACAGAGCTGGAAGTCAGGGATGGTGATGCCTCCAGAAGTTCCTTTATTGTACAAGGTTATTTTGGATATCCTGGGTCTTTTGTTTCTCCATATAAAGTTGAGAATTCTTCTTTCAAGGTCTGTGAAGAATTGTGTTTGGATTTTGATGGGGATGGCATTTAATCGGTAGATTGCATTTGGCAAGATTGCCATTTTACTATGTTGATCCTACCTGTCCAAGAGCGTGGGAGATCTTTCCATTTTCTGGTATCTTCTGTAATTTCTTTCTTTAGAGACTCAAAATTCTTATAGGACAAGTCTTTCACTTTTTTTGGTTAGTGTTACCCCAGGTATTTTATGTTGCTTTTGGCAATTGTAAAGGGTGATGTTTCTCTGATTTCTTTTTCCACCAATGTGTCATCAGTATATAGTAGGGCTACAGATTTTTTTTGAGTTAATCTTGTATCCTGCCACTTTGCTGAAGGTGTTTCTCAGCTGTAGGAGTTCCCTCGTTGAGTTTTTCGGGTCACTTACGTATACTACCATATCATCTGCAAATAGTGAGAGTTTGACTTCTTCCTTTCTGAATTGTATTCCCTTGATCTCCTTTTGTTCTCATTTCTCTATCTAGAACTTCAAGGACAATATTGAAGAGTAATGGAGAGAGTGGACAGCCTTGTCTTGTCCCTGATTTTAGAGGAATTGCATTGAGTTTCTCTCCCTTTAATTTGGTGCTGGCTGTTGGCTTGCTGTATATTGGTTTTATTATGTTGAGGTATGTTCCTGTTATCCCTGATTTCTACAAGACCTTTATCATGAAGGGGTGTTGGATTTTTCTCAAAGGTTTTTCGGCATCTAGTGAGATGACCATGTAGTTTTCTCCCTCAGTCTGTTTATATGGTGGATTACATTGATGGATTTTTGTATGTTGAACCATCCTTGTATCCCTGGGATGAAGCCTACTTGATCATGGTGGATGATTTCTCTGATGTGTTCTTGGATTCGATTTGCCAGTATTTTGATGAATATTTTTGCATTGATGTCCATGAGGGATATTGGTATGTAGTTCTCTTTCTTATTTGTATCTTTGTGTGGCTTGGGTTCCAAGGTAATTGTAGCCTTGTAAAAGAGCTTGGCAATGTCCCTTCTACTGATATTGTGTGGAACAATTTGAGAGTATTGGTATTATCTGTACTTTGAATTTGAATTGGTATTAGTTGTACTTTGAATTTCTGGTAGAATTTTGCACTGAAGCCATCTGGCCCTGGGCTTTTTTTGGTTGGGAGACTTCTGATGACTGCTTCAATTTCATTAGGGGTTATAGTTCTATTTAAGTTGCTTATCTGTTCTTGGTTTAATTTTGGTAAGTGAAATCTGTCCAGAAAGTTGTCCATTTCCTTTAGAGTTTTGAATTTTGAGGAATATAGGTTTTTGAAGTATGACCTGATGATTCTCTGGATTTCCTCTGTGTCTATTGTTATGACCCCCTTTTCATTCCTGGTTTTATTGATTTGCATGTTCACTCTGCTGTTTGGTAAGTTTGGATAAAGGTTTGTCTATCTTGTTGATTTTCTCAAAGAACCAACTCTTTGTTATATTGTGTCTTTGTATTGTTCTCCTAGTTTCCATTTTATTGATTTTGGCCCTCAATTTGATTATTTCCTGACATCTGCTCCTCCAGGTGGTTTGGCTTCTTTGTGTTCTATGTTCTAAAGCTCTCAGTTGTGCTGGTAATTCTCTGGTGTGATTATTCTCCTGTTTCTTCATGTGGGCACTTAGTGCTATGAACTTTACTCTTAACAGTGCTTTCAAAGTGTCCCATAAGTTTGGGTATGTTGTGTCCGAATTCTCATTGAATTCTATTCTATTTCTATTTTTTCCTTAACCCAGGGATTGTGCAATTGGGAGTTACTTAATTTCCATGAGTTGGTAGGTTTTCTGCAATTTGTGTTGTTGAATTCTAACTTTAAAGCATGGTGGTCTGATATGATACAGGGGGTTATTTTAATTTTTTTGTACCTGTTGAGGCTTGCTGTGTTGCCCAGTATGTGGTCAATTTTAGAGAAAGTTCCATGTGGAGCTGAGAGTTTCTTGGGTCCATTTGATTGGAAGATCTTTCCCCAACCTTTAATTCTTAGGTACCATCTGTCTTTGAAGTTGAGGTGAGTTTCTTGTATGCAGCAGAAGGATGGATTCTGTCTTCTTATCCATTCTGCTAATCTGTGTCTTTTTATAGGCGAGTTAAGACCATTAATCTTGAGTGATATTAATGAAGATTGATTGTTCATTCTTGTTTGTTTTTGATTTGGTGATGGTGGTGAAATTATGTGTGGGATTCTATCCCTTTTTCCTTTTGGCTGTTGGTAAAGTGGGATTATCTATTGCCTGTATTTTTCTGGTTGTAGTTAACTTCCTTGGGTTGCAGTTTTCCTTCCAGAACTTTCTGTAAGGTTGGATTGGTGGCTATGTATTGTTTAAATCTGGCTTTATCATGGAATACATTGCCATTTTCCCTCCAGAACTTTCTGTAGGGCTGGATTGGTGGATATGTATTGTTTGAATCTGGTTTTGTCATGGCATATCTTGTTTTCTCCATCTATATTGATTGAAAGCGTTGCTGGGTATAGTAGTCTGGGCTGGCATCCGTTGTTTCTTAGTGTAGGTAGAATATCTATCCAGGATCTTCTAGCTTTCAGAGTTTCCATGGAAAAGTGAGGTGTAATTCTGATAGGTTTGCCTTTATATATTACTTGACCTTTTTCCTTTGCTGCTCTTAATATTTTCTCTTTATTTTGTATGTTTGGTGTTTTGTGTCGAGGACACCTTTTTTTTCGGCTCCAGTCTATTTGGTGTTCTGTAGGCTTCTTGTACTTTCATTGGCATGTCTTTCTTTAGGTTGGGAAAGTTTTTTTCTATGATCTTGTTGAAGGTGTTTTTTTGGGCTTTTGAGTTGGATTTCTTTACCTTCTTCTGTACCTATTATTCTTAGGTTTGGTATTTTCATGGTATCCCCTATTTCCTGGATATTTTGTGTTAGGGATTTGTTGGACTTAAGTTTTTCTTTGGTTGATGAGTCTATTTCTCCTAGTCTATCTTCAACTCCTGAGAGTCTCTCTTCTGTCTCTTGTATTCTGTTGGTTATGCTTGCATCTGTACTTCCTGATCCATCTTTTCTATTTCCAGCATTGTCTCTATTTCATTTTTTAGGTCTTGAACTGTTTCCTTGAGAGATTTGTTGATATCTTGTATTTTTTGGTTTGTTTTTTTCTTCCATTTCCTTAAGGGATTTTCTCATGTCCTCTTTGAGGTCCTCTATCATTTTCATGAGGATGTTTTTAAGGTCATTCTCTTCTGCTTCATCTGCATTGTGATCTTCAGGTCTTGCTGATATATGGTTCCTAGTTTCCCATGGTGTCATACTGGGTTTTCTGTTGTTGAATGTGCTTTTACATTGTCCTCTTCTCATCCTTTCTTATGGTGGGTGTAGCGGGAGTCTCTCTGTTCCTCTCCTGGTAGGGATGGGACCCAGGGTCCCTTCT